CATTTTATACTTTTACATTTTGAATGGGAGTACCAAAGTGAAGAAAGCTGTTTAAACTCAATTGGTAAAAAAAAAAAATGATGTTAACGTCCTACATGTATTGCTTGGGGATCAGTTTTCTTAAGAGCCAAGGTTATTTTGTTGGCTAAATGTTTCTTATACATGTTATATTACATATTACAATTTTGGATATTATATAACATTTTGTATCAGAATATTAAAGAAGAAATTTGTTTAAATGTGATTGGTGCCTGCTAAAGGCTATAATAAAAGTCTTTAGTGTATGAGTGTGTGAATGTTTCCCAGATGGGTTGCGGCTGGAAGGGCATCCGCTGCCTAAAAAACTTGCTGGATAAGTTGGCAATTCATTCTGCTGTGGCAACCCCGGATTAATAAAGGGACTAAGCCGACAAGAAAATTAATGAATGAATGTAAACAACAATATTGAACAAGAAATTTACTAGCTGATTTAACAAGACATAATTTTGTTAAAGTAAAGCTTTAGTGTTACAGTGAGTAAATTAGAATCATTTTAATTAGAATAACACAATACAAACATTTTGAGTCAATTAGTTGCAAAGAAGTTAGACTGACATATTGAAACCATGTTTTATCTACAAATGTGCTTTGTGTTCATACAACATGTTCAAAGCAGTTCAGGTTTACTTGATTGGATTAGATGCATAAAGGGTGCCACGATTAAATCATGTTCATTCAACAATTTTTTTTTGAGTGTACAACACATTTTTCCTGAGCTGCGTCCAAAATTGCATACTTGTGCACTATTCTACGCCATTTTGTAGTATAAATAGTGTCAGTAGTGCATTTACACTAAAAACTAAAATGTTAATGATGAACACTTCATGCGCTCAAAAACTGCAGGTTTGCTCATGTAGCGGAAAGGGCGGAGCTTTTGGGCGCACATGTTGGAGAATTGTATTTATTTTGCATGGTGAAAGCAAAATTCTTACTATTGATTATGATTATATGATTATAGCGCCTCCTGATGGTTACACTCATGGCAGATATTATTTGATAGTTTGGTAATTTAATTCACTGATTTGGCAATCGTCAATAGTCATCAGGGAAACGGTTTGAATTTCCGCTTAGTGAAAAACAGTGCTCCATTTGGGACTACACTACATGCATATACCATGCTGTTGAGTGTGTAAGTGCATAAGTACATAGTGCATAGTGTATAGTGTGCCATTTGAGATGGTGCTCTGGTTTGTTTTCCCAAGTTTTTGATCCTCGCCTTGTAAGTTTGTTCATCCTTGTCTGCTGCCTGTCTTTCGATCATTTGCCTGTGTTTCTTACTAAGACTCTGGATTGCTTGTATTTGCCCGTGCTGACCATTGCTTTACTGACCTTCCTATTAAAACCTGCATTTGGATCCGCAAGTCTGTTCTCAGCGTCTCCGTCAAAGAAAGTGAGTCAGCATGTTGCATGGATTAACATGTTTCTATTACATGTTTACTAGGGCTCGTTTCAGCATTGATATTGCAATGTGATCATTTGCAATCGTCACATCACAGGGTATACACATTAGCCCCTTTCACACATACAGACCTTTCCGGAAAATTACCGGCAATTTTCCGGAAAGGTTGTATGTGTGAACAGGCCCTTTTTGAAAATACCAGTAAATTCGTTCTGGCTATTTTCCGGAAAGAGAAGTTGTAACATTACCGGTAATTTGCCGGAATGCTGCGCTGTGTGAATGCAGAAGGAAGATTGCCGTAATAAGCGCGTCCACGTCTAGAATGGGCTGACGTGAGACACCTGCTTTAGCCAATCACAACAGTCAGACGCATTCACGTGCGCGCGGTTTATGAGAATAAAAGCCTTTGAATATTTTTTCCAGACACCTTTAGCTGCTAGATGTTAGTCAGATAATGTTTCTATGTTCCTTCTTAATGCTGTGTAAATAATTATCGATAAAATGTTTATGATAATCCGTTGTTTGTTTACCTTCAAGCTTTGCGTGTGCCCGTGAGCGCCCATAGCGCCAGCACACACACATATCAAAGTGTTTCCCTATGTTTTCATTAGAGTTGTACTCAATACTGATCCATCCGAAGAGTTTGTAATGTAGTCAAATGTTTACAAACACAAGCGCAGTTTAGAGGTCATTTCTGGTTAATGATATCAGAATTTACCGGCATTTTGCGATGGATGTGTGAATGCTCTTTTCCGGAAAAATTCCGTAACGTCCTCGCCTGTGTGAACAGCGTTTTTTTTAATATACCGGTAAAGTAGTTCCGGAAATTTTCCGGATATTTACCGGTATCATTGTGTGAAAGGGGCTAATGTTGAGTTTGTATAGTAATTTGTCATTTGCATGTGTTTTTGATGTCTATGATTGTATAATGATTTTAAAAGCATTCAGGTATAAGAAATTGTACCATTTGTGTCCTTAACAAAGATTAAGTTTATTGAATTACTTTTATTTTTATCATCCAGGTACTGTACTTGATTACTGTTCAACTCTGGAAATGCTAAACAATTTATTTCAATTGCATCATTTTCTTGATTGTATTTATTGTTATGCATAAAAATACTCGCAACCATGCAAATACAGAAATGCACTGCAAATAACACAGACCACAACGAAATGTGTTGGGACCCCAAAACGTTTATAGATTGCTAGATTTTATGGAAATGCATTCCTACTGAAAAATCATCTAATTTAATCTAACATTATAAATTCTAACACCTAACATAATTAAACATTAGATCAAACATTATAAATCCTTTCCAAAAAGAGATATTTAGTATTCAGGTGTATTCATATCACAATATACAGTATATGGGGAAAAAAAATAAATAAATATATATATATATATATATATATATATATATATATATATATATATATATATATATATCGCAATGTTATTTTTTTTCCAATATCTTGCAGCCCCAATGTTTACTTTGGTTAGTAAATTAGCATTATTTTAACATGGTTAACATTATTACCATTAATTAGAGCCTTGACATGAATTAGCATGCTATGTATCAAACACTGTTAACGTATAAGCTTAAGCATGTTTTAACATTTTCTACAAATTAGCATGTTGTAGATTTGTTACTGGCATGATGAAATAGCATATTGTTAGGATGAAATGGCACTTTATGTGATTACGAATTAATTCATATTATAATGATATGGATAATTCAGTGTTGTCAAAAAAATGAAAATAAAATACATTTTAAAATACACAAAAGAGAATAGTTTTTATTAAATAAATTGTACCGTTTGAGTACTTCATCTTTTAAATCTTAAAGTGCACATGAAGTTAAAACTGATCACATTTACTTTGTTAGTGCACAGTTAGTGCTAGTGTTTTACGGTGAACAATTCCTCTGTGCAAGTCCATTCTTTTTTTGCCCCTGTAATCTTTAAATCTAAATCTGAAAATGGATCTCCCCCCTGAAATGATGGTCTTTCATTGATGAGGCCAGTTTGACGGCTTGGGCTTGGGCATAACACTCTTAACCATGCCCTTACAACATTCAGCTTGACATGAATGCAATGCCTGCTGTGCTACATTAAATCAGTTCACCGCAGAAAACAAAACAAACCACACCCTCCGTTTTTCTCCTTCACTATTCAGTTGCCCTCGGAAATACACCACAATATGGAAAGTAAATTGTTTGCAACATCCAGTTCGCACATACTTTAAAACAGTGTTTCTTACAAATTCATAATTTTGCCAGCTTGTTGCTTTGATCATATTCCCACACAAACATATGCCCAACAGGCAAAAGTTGGACTGAGATTTACAAATGCATGAGCACAACTACTGTTTCTGTTACAATACTGAAGCATTGACACAATCAGATGTTTGTATTCATTGAAATAATCCTTTAAAAATCCTTCCTTTAAATATCAGCGTGTAACCAGAAGTTAAAGTGCACGATTTAAAATGAAGCAAAAATGACAGATGCTTTGCTCTTCTCAAATTCCAGCCCTTGTTCTTTGGTTTTTCAACTCTCTATTTTACCAGCCTACAAGACAGGTGGTCCAAAACCTTTAGTGCACCTGAAAAAGAAAGCAACTTCAAACAGAATCGGTTTCATGCTTTGAAGTCTAGTTAGTTCTTTTTGGTTAAAAAAGAGAGAGTGAAAAAAGACAAGAAGTCCTTGTAGTGGTTATATTCTAATTTCACAGTACTTGTGCAAAGAGCATAGAAGATGTCAGATGAACTACCTGCTAAAAAAAAAAAAACTCTCATCCTAATCTATTCTTGTCATAACCCATTTTTCTAAGTTTTGATTCTTCAGTAGAGGGCGGTTTATATGCATATAAGGAGGTTCCTAGACACCTCTTGCAGACAACACTGGCCCGCGGCTACAGGGAGCTGAATGGATTAAAGTTCAAAAGCAAGAGCCAGGGATTACTCACAGATTCAAAGTCTTCAAGGGTGCAGTGTAGCCCCTGAAAACGACAAGATTTCACCATGTCCCAAAGGCGGTGAGCGGCTCGATCATACAAATCCTGCCAGTCAAATCTGCACTTTTTTCGATTCGGCTTTGTGATGTTGAGTTGCGGCATGCTCACTTCAATTTTTGGTTTGATATTCTTTGTGAGGACGGTGTCCAAAGGAAGGCCCCAAATCTTTCCAATGTGCTGAATGTCACGAGTCGTGAGAGCAGACCACCGAAGTGGGTTCACGTTGCACAGTGTAACAGCAGGAAAGATCAATTTGCTTCTGGTCTCCTCTTCTATTTGGGTGATGTAGCCATATTGGAAATAAAATGTAACAGAGCTGAAGAAATAGAATAGGAGGAAGCCCACTGATCCTGCGAGGGCCAGCAGCCAGAGAGAGTATCTGATGGAGCCCATGTTTGGCTGGAGGAGGCTCTGGACTCCATGAAGAGATGTTTGTCTTGCTAAAACTCTCAGATTTGAAGTTCGGTAAATTCTGCCAGTTTTTGTAGAGTATGATTGTTGGAGAGTTTCATTAAACGACCTGTATGATACAGCTGCCATTGTAAGAATGTGTCTGTTGGAACAATGGTGGAAACTGGAGGAGCATTGGTTTGTTAGGCTTTTATATATATCAGAAGGGGAGATTACAGTTTAATCTGCCAGTAAATCTAGTTTGAAAACTTGTAAGTGATGCCATCGACAAAAAAATGCATTACATGTACTGATTTCATCAACAATTTCCTCATTAAGACTTATCAGAAGCCAGCAAAAGGGGGAAATGAGTCCAATCTCTTAAAAGTTTACTATGAATTGATGTATCTTGAAAGATTTGTGACTAAAACATATCTAAAGTGAGATATTACCAAATATTTTTTCCAATAAAAAAACACAAAAAAGTACTGCTCAGATATCTTGGCTCACATCCTAATGCTCTTTGTTAAAATACAACATTTCTGATAAGCATTGTTCAATAAATATTCTCTGTTGGCATTGGTGTTTTTTGTTTGCTTGTTTTTACTTTTAATCAAGGAGAAAACTCTTTTTCTAAACATCTTAGTGAATTTTTTTTTGTAAAAATACCTTTTTTTCACAATTTGAAAAACATTTTACTAATATGAATCTTTTGTATAATTAAAAAGGTTCATGGACGACATAGTGAATGATTCAATTATCCTTTTTAATGCACCCATTATGGAATACACATGTTTAAAAGTCCCAAAAATAACCTAAAAACATCCTCAAAACAGACTATGTGCCTTGAGTGGTTTAATCGAAATATTATCAAGCTATGAGACTAGTTATGTTTGCACAAAAAAAAATTATAATAATAATGACTATTAAACAGTTTTCTTCACATTCAGGAAAATGAAGTGTTCTTTATGCATGTCAAACTTAGTTGTACTGTCTGTCTTTACATACATTGTGTATACATCAGAGCACAGTGCTCGTAATCATATGTCCCATACTGACAATAAAGAGATCAAACTGTTAAATATAGTCCTTATTTTTACTTTATGTGTACACAAAAGTATTCTTATATAGCTTCATAATATTCTGATTAAAATACTGACTTAAGATGGGCCGTTTTGAAAGTTTTGCTCTTGGGTTTTGTCCAAACTATCTTAATTTGTGTTTGAAAGGTAAACAAAGGTCTCATGGTTTTGGACAGTACGATATGATGGTTAGTAATTATTGACGATAGTTTTTTTTTTTTCTATTTTGGGTAAACTCTCCCTTTAATCAGCTCATAAACAGGATGGCAATGAGTCATACTAGAGGCCATTCGCCCACTTTCAGTAGCATTGTTTCTAGATACTCAATGGCTTTAATGAAAGAAAGAACTAAAATACCATAAAGCACTGCAAATGACAAGCATTTAGAGAAAAAAATACACATTCTTTTACATTATTTGTGTTTTATCTATGAAATGGATGAAATTAAAGATCTCTAATCAGTGGAATTTTTAATGCAGCATCATTGGTAATACATAATTTTACCACTGATTCTGTTATCACATATAAATTTTGTAAACATTTAATAGAAACACAACAGATGATCTCAACCAAAGCATATACAATCTCAGCACTCATCGCTGATCTGTTTTCAAAAATGTATTAAATATTTTTTTGAATCGAGAAAAAAAACTAATTATTTTATTGCCAGAATATCTGGCAAATTGAACTGTAGTTCTTCCAGTTTTAAATTCAATGTAACATTTCTTTTTTACAGTAATTACAAAGCTTCAGCAGCTTGAATGTAATTAGCTTAGTAACATTTAGCAAAGCACTTTTCCCCCAACAAAGTGTAGCTTCACTGTATCTTAACCAAATTATAAATAACTTATAGCTTAGCAAGCTTTCCCCTGAAACTGCAAAGTGCCTCTTCACTTGCACAGATATAGATATCTGATACAGAGGCTTACCGATCGATACGGTGACTGACAGGCTTCTTAGAAACACGCTGAGCTCATTTAAGGAGTGAACTACATTGTTTGCATGCAGGATTTTGTGGAACAGTAGCAGTGCCAAGATGTAGAATGCGTAGGCAAGATGATGAGAGCGGGCATCTGATTCAGTTTAGATTCATACTTTTATACATGCACCAATATACATGTTCAGAGCTTTCAGCCCTACGGCAACATCAAACTCGGATGACAATGATTCTTCTTGAAGTCTGAAACTGGGTGCCCTCCGGCCACCTCCCACACAGGAAGACGGCGAGTGTGATGTCACTCCCACTGGCACAGATTTAAGGACAGCCAGAGAACTACAGGTCTCTCTCTACCTGACACGTGCACACACAAACACACACAAACACAAAACTCTTGTATAGCTATATTTGTGGGGACTTAGACGTAAGTCGTACCATAGACGTAACTGTCTTAGTATGGCATAAACAGTGTGTTCTTGTTCCTACCCTACCCATAAACATAAACACAATGTCTGCATTTTACATTTTAAAAATACTTAATTCTGTATGATTTATAGGCTGTTTTATCAAAATGTATCTAGAATAAAAAAAGTACTGGTATTACCGTACTTGTGGGAACATTTCATTTCTGTTTTGCAGGCAATACCAGGTACACACACATACACACTGGGCAAAAAAAAATGCTCTCTATTTGTATTGTTTTATTTTTAATTAAAAAGAAAAATCCTTATAATTCATTCATTACTACTGACTTTATAGTATACACTCAAAACTGCCCTGATTTTGCCTGAAAAGTTCTTCATTCATCATTGAATCCTTGTTTATACAATTGTATAGCTTAAACCGTCCAGGGCAGTCATTTCGAGCATTGTGAAATTAGTAATTTAATAACTTTAAAATAAAACAGATATTATAGTGCCCTGACTCCCCCAAGATCAGGATTTTCATTAAATATCCAACAATTGTTTGTTTAAAGAACGCCTATGATGAAAATCTAATTTTGTAAGCTGTTTGGACAGAACTTTCTGTAGGCATAGTGTGTCCGCTATCATATTGTAGTGACATAAACCCAACAAGTTTATTTTTTTAAATTTCCTGACATTAAAATAGGAGCCAAATCCCTGCAATTCTGAGGCCCACCGCAAAGTGACATTGGAGTGTTTTTACCCACCCACTGAATTGATTGACATGCACCAAGTTTCTATAATAACTTCTATACACTTCAACAGAACATTTTTTATTTTATTTTTTTTTTGCAAATAAACTGGGATTAAAATATTTGTTATGACTCTTTGTGAGTTTTATAAGTTTAAAAAGTTTTTAAAACAGAGCATATTTATAATAAATACAGTAAAATCATTATGTAATTGGTGTTAGTAAATGCGTATATGTGTTTGTGCTTGTACTGCAAATGGCTTTTGTGTGTGACTCATCATTTCAGGAAAGCTTGAATAAACTACACCACAGATACGGCAAATAAATGTACTTGGTATTTTTGACTAATAAGCTGTATTTCAGCTTCATCCGAGTCTGTCTCTGTCACTGTGCTGTTTATCAGACGTAATGCATGATGAGAATTAAGCAGACACGCACATGGAAAGGTGGGTGGGGAGAAGCAGCTCATTTTCATTTAAAGCCACATGTTACAAAAACAGCTACCCTGCACTCAGATAGCAAACTGGACAAATTCTGGAGGCTATAATAAATATTCTGATGGGTATTTAGAGATGAAACTTTACATACACATTCTGGAGACACCAAAGGCTTATATTACATCTTGTAAAAAGGTTAAAATAGGTCCTTTAATGTTAATCACCCCACTCAACACTTGTATTTGTAGAATTTTAGAGGGGAGTGACGGGAGAGGGAAAGAGGGAAGGGTTTGCATAAAAATTAGAGTTTCATTTCGAGCATGAAATGATTTTCACAGTCAGGGAAGAAAAACAATGACTGTTTACATGTAATCAGTAATCAAATTATTCGCCAAATTCTTAATTTGTCAACTTTAACTGTAGTTTGGCACTTTCACTTTCATTCAGGAACATGAATGAGATGTTGGATGCTAGGAACTGCTGAAGAGTGTAGTTTTAATGCAATTTTTGATACAGCACAGCGAATAGGAGAGAAAAAAAACTCCACATTTCTTGGTAACATAGGGCTCTATTTTGACGGTCCATGCGCAGAGCGCAAAACGCAGGGCGCAAACGCTTTCAGGGCGTGTCACGACGCGTTTTTGCTAATTTAAGGATGGGAAATCTACCTTGCGTGTGGCGCATGTTCTAAAAGGGTTGAGTTTATTTTCTTAATGAGTTATAGGTGTGTTTTGAGAATAAACAAATTAGAGTCTCATCTCCCATTACCTTTAAGACCCAGCTGCGTCGCGCCAAGAGCGCATTCGCCATTTACAGGACGCAAAGTAAGTCTAAGTGGAAAAAAATAGCATTTCACAAGCAAACAGTTCACAGTTTTTCAACAAAAAACTGTGAAACAGCATCTACTGCGTGAGAATGAGAGATAATGGATCACTTTCACTTTCGCTCTTGGATAAGGAAACCTTTAGGCACAGACATCAATTAGTCTATAAATAAATACTTTTGTTTGTTAAGCGCAAATATTCGTTTCAAAACTATTTCTAAATTCAGTTCTAATTTCCAGCGAACGAATAAATGAATAATAATAGCAAAATGTGCTCTAAAACCTGAGTTATATCCTACATGCTGTGCCCCATATGGTCTAAAACCTGACAGGTGGGCAAATCTAAGCTTGTTTTTAATAAAAAAAATATATAAATATGGACATATTAAATAATACTGCTAATAATAATAACATTATACAAAAGCAAATTGTTATGAATGAACTGAAAAAGCCTCCCGAGATGAAGAAGACATAAAAGCAGTGATTTTTCATATTTATGTAGGCTAGAAAATAATGTTTTGTAATATTTTAATCCTTTATATTTATATATATATTCTTATTATATACTATATATATCCTTAATATTTACATTTTTTCATATGTAAAGATATTTACCTATTGCTCTCTTGTGCGTATTAAGCAGTGCGTAAGCGAGGCGCAACTTTGCGCCGGAGTTTAGACCGGGTTAGTTTTGGTCTAATGAAAAATCTATTATAGATTCTCAAAATAGCAAGGCGCCAGCGGTCCGCCTCAGAGCGCCTTCC